ACCTCACTGCTGCACCCTTCTCTGGCATGAGGCAGCTCCACCTCACCACTGCACTGTTCCTCAATTTGAGGCAGCTCCGACTCACTGATGCACTCTKCTTYGGCCTGAGGCAGCTCCACCTCACTGCTGCACTCTTCCTCAGACTGAGCCAGCTCCTGACATCCCTCTGATGTTTCAGATGTGTCCTCATGCTCATACTCGGTTCTCTGGAGCTCCTTGTTTAAAGTCACCTCAGGCATGGAGTCACTTTGGTTAGTCTGTTTTCTGTGAGCTTGCCTTTTCTCAATCTTTGTTATCGCAAGCCCAAGCTGGCTCTGCACACTTTTCAAAAGGTCCACATTGTCCTTTTCCAGAGCCTTCAGGTTTCTGCTCCAGGTTTTCTGAGCCTGAGTCAAGTCCTGGTGCTGGTTTGCCTCCAGAGCTTCACACCTGGCCTTCAGAGCAATACTGGACTTTTCCAGAGCCTCTGCCCTGCTACAGGATCGATCAGCCACTTTACAACTCCGGAGGGATACATGCACTAGCATGGCCTTAGTCTTAACTATGGCTTTAGTTAGGTCATCTCTAATCTTCTGGAGCTGCATTGGTCCACAAGCCTGAAGAATAGAAACATACATGGAATTCTTGAGTAAAACTCCACTCCCACCTTAACCAGGGTTCCTGTGGCTCCTTAAAAAGTCTTAAATTAAAATCAACAAAATTTAGGTTTTAAATTGTCTCAAATAGACCATGAATTGGCTGCAAAGCATTACATTTGCAGGTGGTGCATTTAAGGCGTGCATTGATGTATAATAGATATATTTACTCAACAAGTAGTTGAGCTTTAGACAAAACATGAACTAATTGCAGTCAAAAGCAGGTTAGCCAAGAGCTTTGGTAAAATAATCTTACCACAGTGTCCATTTTGGCAAAGGAATAAGGTTTGGAAAACTGTTGCCTATGTAAATGAAACTTGTTTTCTTCACAAATGAAAGCTGCTGTCTCCTCAGTTGAAGGTTTTAGAAAATGCCGTCACTCTTGCAGTCTAACTCTAACCTAACCTCTAATCCCATGATCAGAAGAAATACTGCAAAGATAACTACATCACAGGGTCACAACATTAAAGGACTTCTAAGGTTTCCATGGAGATTTTTCTAACTACACAACATGGCTGCCACTGGAGGTTGTTGTTTTTATCAGGAATTCTTTGTCGCACCTGCTTACTTGGACTCGCAGAGTAATTAATGCGATTTTGGTGGTCAAAGAGCAAGGACACAATGGCCTCTTGAAAGTGATATCTCAAAACCAAGGGATTTCCTTCAATTTTTGATCAGCTTATCAGATTTCAGTGGTCAAAGGGCCTGGTGACCATATATGAATTTGAAAAAAAATATGTAGACAAAAACTACACTACACAACTACATTGTGATCTCACTGAGGCGAGTTAATCACTGAAATCACTGGTCATGACCTGTGGGTAAAGCTTCTATGTTCCACAAACACACACCGGCCCTGCCACACCCACCAATCAATGGCGCGAATACTCAGCATTTTCAACATGCACTTCCCTGATTGGCCGAGAGACAGACAGCCAGTCCAGCTGGAAAGCAGTGTCGCTACACTATCATTATAATTCATCCCTAGATTAAAATAAAACGAAATCAGATCAAACTTGTCCATGTTTGCGGCTGAAGCTACTGATGCCAAAAAGTCAACAGTCTCACTGATGAAATGACAAACATTTCTTGTGGCCACGTCTTATTAATTCGTGGCCACCTAATAATCATCTCGTTCCCACGCATTAAGGAAGTCGTTACCCTGCATTATTAATTCGTGGCCACCTAATAATCATCTCGTTCCCACGCATTAAGGAAGTCGTGGCCACGGGATAGGATCTCGTTACCACGCGTTATTAATTCGTGGCCACGGAATTTTTTTTTTTCACCCATATCACCAGACGGACTCCGTAAGAAATGAAAGTAAAGGCATATATTGAAGGCTGCTTGATGGCACAAAGTTATTTCATAACAATAACCCAGTTCAAAATGTTTGTTTTTGTTTTTACTGCAGCAACTGGTGGACATCCATGTCGTGATTCTGCATAAAGAGGAGGGAGCAGGTCTGGGATTCAGCATCGCTGGAGGCTCTGACCTAGAGAGCAAAGCTCTTACAGTAAGCAGCTCTCAGTACAGCTTCATACTGCTCATCTAGAGCATGTTTCCTGCTGTTGTGATTCTGGGAATGACTTTTGCAGTCAATCATAGCAACTCATCTTAGACTATAGGTCTGGCTGAGCACAGGCATTGCATGTCCCAGAGATTTCTGTTCAGGTGGTATTGACTGTGTGTCAGCATGTCTCTTTTGATGGAATTAGGAACATCTACCCTGGACTAAGCAAAGAGTTTGGTTTGACTGACTGCACTGTCAATAATCTGGACAAATAGAGAAACAGATAATCAGAGGCATTTCATATTCCTCAGTCTTCCCCTCCAGTATCATTTAAACAGGTTTTTAAGCCTTTATAGTGCTACGTCTACTCTGTGCCACTGAATCTCTCTCTCTCTCTCTCTCTCTGTGACGCTTGTTTACCCTCTGCTGTTCAGGTACACAAAGTGTTTCCCAGTGGCCTGGCGGCTCAGGAGGGCACCATTGAGAAAGGAGATGAGGTGTTGTCTATAAATGGACAAACACTGCAGGGCGTCACACATGCCGATGCCACCGCTGCTCTGCGTCAGGCCCGAAATCTGTCGCTGGCTGTGGTGGTCATCTGCAAGAAAGCAGAGGAGGGAGGCAGAGAGGGGGGAGGCTGCAAGAGTGAAGAGCCTAACGCTTCAGGTGAGTCTACAATCACACACAAAGGTGCAGTCCTGACGTTATCTGAGACTATAGAATCTATAGCTTTTGTTAAATTTATGCAGACAGGTCTGAAAAGGTCTGAATTCAACCTGTTATATGCTAACCATCCAATTGTTCACTGTTGTTTGTGCTGCAGAGGAGGAGCAGGCAGCTCCGGTGAGGGTGGAGCTGGAGAAAGGAGCTGGAGGAGCTGGTTTTACTCTGGAGGGAGGAAAAGGCTCGATCCATGGAGACAAACCTTTAGTCATCAACAGGATCTTCACAGGTATATTCATGATGAGGATATTTTAAAGGCTCAGTGGATGGGATTTAGTGCCATTTAGTGGTGAATTTTCAGATTGTACCAAACTGAATAACCTTCTGTTTCCAACAGTATAGGAGAGCACATGGTGGCCCCAGGTAACATTCAAATTAGAAAAGGTCCTCTATAGAGCCAGTGTTTGGTTTGTCCATTCTGGGCTGCTGTAGAAACATGGCAGAGAAACATTGGAAGATGTGAAGGGCTCATTCTAATGCAGCAAACACAACTTATTGTCTGAGTACTAATACTTACATTCTTTGAACTGATGAAAACAGACTATTGGACCTTTAAAACATTAAACAACTCCTGATAAGTTCAAAAGTATATGATTTTATTTATTCATCACCATGAACCAAATAACTTTAAAAGTTCTTCCATTTATTAACATAAAGTTAAAAAAAATAACTGAACTGAGGTGAAAAACTGTAATTGAGCCTGTATTGAGTACTTTTTTATTGTGGAGCCAGATAAACAAATATGAAAAAAAGCAGCACTGAAACTCAGACAACGTATTGAGACCATTAATGGTAATATTGCAAAAGAAACCAGAGAGCTAAAAATGTCTGTGTGTGTGTGTTAGGTGGAGCTGCGGAGCAGAGTGGTCTGCAGTGTGGAGATGAGCTGCTACAGGTGCAGGGAGTCAGTCTGCAGGACATGGCAAGGTTTGAGGCCTGGAACATGATCAAGGCTTTACCCGAGGGACCAATCACATTGGTCATCAGGAGACGAGAGCAACAAGGACCGACAGAATGAGACACACTGTGGCTGCCGCTCGCAAAGGAAAAAGAAGAGAACTTGGGACAAACCAATGTTGGCCTTCGAACAAACTCCTAAAAATCAGGTGTGGTCCAACTTCAACATGTTGGTTCACAATTTATTTCAGTTTTTCACATTTTGGCAAGATAAGTGTATTAAGAATTGTTTTAACCTTCAGTAGAAAAAATTATTCAGTGATAGTTTAGAGCCTGGCCAGTGTCATGCTCGTAAGTTAATAAATGATGTGCAAATTAAAATGATTTATTGTGGTGCTTAAATCACTGAATGAAACCACAAGCTAAGGCATTGTGTTTCTCAAATCTGACACAAGACTCCATGAAATGGTGAATGTGTAACTACTTGATTGCACTCTGTGCTGGTCAGTAGTATTACTGAAAAAAACATCCAATGTCACATCACAACTGCACAACAACAGCACTGTCAGGACTAAGGAAACAAATGTGATGATAACACACAATATCAATATGAAGGAATCCCTTTACAGATCCCAAACACAGCTGGTAGCCTGCAGTCATGACTCCGGATGCTCCTCAGTAACAACACTCAAGTGAACATAACAAACATCAACTTCAGTTCCACTGCTGCAGCAACGTGACACTGTGTAATTGAAAGATTTGATTATATATGAGCCTGGATTTAGTGCAGCTTTCAGACAGAGTTCCCCTGTTGACATGTTTGATGCTATTAATGCTATGTTCTGCATCATGTGAACAAGTGAAGTCATTCCAGAGCATAATACTTTTTTATTATTGATTTATTTTTACTCCACAAATGAAAGAGTGTAAAGTGCTCATTGTTCATGCTCACAAAATGCTGACGAGTCTTTTCTTAAAATACAGTATGGTACATTATATCAGCCAGAATTGTGACAGGAAGAGGCAGTTTTATCTGCTCTGTCCATCACAGTATAAAACAACAAGCTTCAAATCAGGCCCCACGAGCTTCCTCCGTCACCAGCTGCTTCCCAATTCTGACTGAAAACCACCAAATAGTTCTGTCTGATTAGGAGAGAACAAGACACAGCCCATTAAAATGAGTCTGTGCTGCTGTTGTACTGATGACAATTGATAGGCCATTTATTAGGTGTCATCACAATGATTTGATTGATTCAATCGCCTCTGTGCCTTATGAATGTATTTAAGATCCACAATAAAAGTAAGTGCACAACAATAACACTGATGCTGTGAGCAAGTGTTCAAGGGGTTGAGAGTGCAGAGCAAGGACTTTGACAAATGTCCATTATTGACACCAGTATTTTATTGAAAACAGTTTCTTTACTCAGCAATGGTAAAAACTATTTTTCTGTAAATTATAACTGGTGTGCATGCAGCCTTTCTCCATGCTTAAATTGTCCCATTGTTCATTCAGGATTAATTCACAAATATGATGCCTTAGAATGTGTACGTATGCAAGCCTTAAGAAAAAAAATAAATAAATCACAATTTACAAAAGTGATATTTATAGAATGAGTCATATCTGCCATACCAATTTAAATAGGAACTTGTATAAACTTCTGCGCAATGTTTCCTTTTCTGTTTGTATATTAAATGGTTTCACAACTGTATGAATCGTTATAACGTCTTCTGTTATACACTGCACACAAAGAAGACAAACAGGAATGGACAACAAGATGCTTCTATTGATCATTTTAATGCTGGTGAAATACAAAATTAAATGGGTAGAGAACAGTACAAGGTGAACAGCTGCATGTTAAGACAATGATGAGTAGCAGTAGGCTCATGTGACATGGTAGACAAATGTCTGCACAGGTTGTTGGACCACAAGTTACCAGGACAATGTAAGAAAACTTTGGTATTGGTGTCTGAATCTCAAGCACTGAACATTAAAAGTACTCTGGGTATCAGTCTAATACTTTAAATATGGCTAACCGCCACAGTGTACATGTTATTAGTCCAAAATGTCTGTATGGAGACAAAGCAAGTTCATCACCAAAGTCAGCAAATGTAAATCAAACCTGAATCACAGGCAATCATATATTTATATATATTTATATATATTAGAAAAGGTAGAGATCTGTACATCTCTTAACCCGAAATGTTCAAGTCCACCCAACTCCATCAGAAGATCCCATGAAGAGGGATATCATTAGATGTCATTATGAAGACGGTGTGATCAAATACAGATCACATGTTCATTTCTGATGGTGGAGATGTGGTCAAGAAGTCAAAGGTGATTCCTTGTTGATTTACACCGTTTCCCTTCCATTTGTATTCTTCATGTAACTGTTTAACCTCTTAGACAATGTTACGCTTAAATAAAGTCCCGTTTAAACAATACACACATGAAAATGCCTTTAGATCCACATGCAAGCAACATATCAAGCACAGATGATTTTGTAAATGGAATACGCGGTCTGTCATTAAGATTACTGGCTACAAGGCAAGATGAAGAAGACAATAAAGGTGAGCAGGTAAAGGAGAACACGTTTTTTCAATGATTTTTTGATATAAACCAACAATAGCTAAATGTACATGTATTTTCATACACTTGAGAAAGTTGGTAAACTAACAGATCACTGTACAAATCAAACCTTCCCCACAACTCTGAAAACTCATTTCAAATCAAGGCATTTCCTATTGCTGATCATGTTGAAGCAATCAATTTAATCCCTAAGTTATGATTTAAGAAACAATAAGAAGAGGGGTGAAAGGAAGGCGCCACACAGCATCTTTCAAATAACAAAAGTTTTCAGCATTTTCTCATTTCATCCACCACAGTGAGCTTCAGTGATGAAGATTAAAATGATACAGTACAGTTTCTTTTTCCAAATACCTGAAAAGTACTATGGCAGTTGTGGAAAAACTTAGTTTGCATTTAATATTTCTGTAAATATTCAAACGTCAGGTAGCATTTTTATGATAGCAACTTAGATTTTAGATAATAAATATAGACATGTTTTTAAAGTCTTTCTTCAAGTGTTGTATGCTATGATGTTTGTGTGCAGGTATGTCTTTCCCCGTCTAACCTGAAAATGAGCCTTTATTTTAAAAGACCACATGACATAGATAAAGCCAATGGTTATTATTAGTATTGTCTTTATTGTGCTCGTCTCATACGTCTTGAGTAAAAATTAAAAACTGGTCAGACATGCCCTGAGCTGGACAAGGGGACAAAACACTCCATGACAATGCCTGCTTCAAGTTCATTTCCTATTTCACCACACAGAAGCCTCATTAACTGCAATGTGTAGACAGAGAGGTAGGATTATGACAAAACTATACCCTGGAAATAGGCCAGTATTATACAGCATATCTCATGTGGATCACTGTGTATCTTTATCCAAAAACATCCAAAATGCTTTCATGGTTCTAACATTGTGTGATACAGTGAGGTAACATTTATTTGAAGGTTAACTGGATAATAAGTGTCAGTGTGTATTTTGTCATTTAGGATCAGCATTGAAAATAATAGGATTTCACGTGAGTTCTAAAACATTTGCAAGGTCGGCAGGTTTATTTTAAATGTGTCAGTCAGTTGGGTTTCAAGTCCTCACGCTTAAAGTAGCCACTCAAGAAGAGTGTTGTATTGTGTCGTGTTAACAGATTCAACCTGGTTTCTTCTCTCACAACGCTGTTTAATAGTTCAAGCTTTGCTGTAGTAGCCTGAAAAAAACTGTTTTTAAACTAAAAGTGGTGATGCAATGTGATAACACTTCATCAAATCTGAATAGAGTTCTTGCTTTTGTACATACTGTAACTAAACTTCGGAGATTCTACAGTACCTCAAGGGCTCAGGACCACATCTGTTCCTTTACTGGTCTAGAATAAAGTTTCATTTTGCTCGTTTCATTTCCGTGAAAAAATTCTACCGCTTAACATGTTGTGTTAGTGGAACACCATTCAGTCACATTTCTTACTTGTTCCATTGACTTGACAACTCACCCATAGTTTCAGAAAGCTGCAAATGTGATGAACTGAGAATGGATTTAAAAGGTGGCTACCAGAACCAATCTTTTTTTAAAGGACAATAGTGTGGGGTAGTGCTTTGAATGAGAGGATCATTAGAAAGTACAAAATGACAATAAAAGAGTTGTTTCACTCCATGTTACCACTAGTTGAACTCCCTACAAACACACTAACATTAAAAATATAAAACTGTGTGTGCATTTCAGTGTCTTTCACACTTTACAATGTCACCTTTTCACTATCCCTAGTATAGATTTATAGTGTTACTTTTGTAAAGAGTCTTGACCCTTGATCTCGATCAAAATTCCACATTAGAAACATTTCATCTTAAAAAAGAACATAGCTGAAGTGAACCATGTCAAAATGTTCCATCTTGGGTCATTGTATTTTACACATTTTCACCTTAACACTTTTATCTCACAGCACCTTCACATATGTGACTGTAGCGCAAAAGCATGAATCATCGGTTGACAACCATTCTCATGGTGAGGTTTCGAGAAGCTGGCTCAGATGTCCTGGCATGATGAAACTAAAACTGCATGAGGCCTGAATGTGGTGAAAAGGAAAGGGGAAATGTACAACAGAAACCAACGTCATGAAAAAGGGGCAAGGCTCTTTTCGGCTTAGTAGAGAAACATTTAACGTGAACTATTCCCAATCAAAACATCCAGCCACCTACATCACCTCTCCTGTGCTTTAGTGGAGCTGATTACAAAGGCAGACAGTTTCTACAGTAGGTGAGTGGAGATGAGCAAAACTATGACAATTCAAGTACACAAACAACTATATGAGGTATGAGGCAGTACTGCAATCTGATACCCGCACAGGGTAAATAAGGTACATGCAACATGCATTTTTACTGCACCTTTAGCACATGTACCGATATAATTTTACAAACTATTTTCATTCTGTAAAATAGGACCAAGTAAATTTATCCCACAGCTAGGAAGGTAAAGGGAATTTAAATTTTTTTCAAATGGAAGCCCTGATCATTTTTGCCATTTTTCAGTGTAAACTGCTTTCAAAATAGGGTTTTGACTGTTGAAGATTTAGAGGATTTCTCCTGCAGAGACAGGAATATACATGAAGGTACATGATTCATAGCACGTGGGTTATAGCTATTGGGTTCAGTGGTCTGAGTGTGCTGACTGCTGTAGAGTTTGGAAGGTTTAAACTGGAATGGACTTTGGCCTGACCAGTGGGGAGGCCTCAAGTTTGAAGGTAGATCTCTGAACGCTTCATGTCAAAGGTCCTTGAGGGATTTCACAGCCTTGCTCAGGTTGCTGTAGAACTCAGACATGCTGGAGGGGAAGAATGAGTCGACCACAGAGCGAGGGAGGAGGCCACCCAGGTCGGTCTGGAAGAAACTGAACACTTGGGTTTTGTTGGGCTCTCTGGAGACAGATTGGAACAAACGCACAAAGAGAAAATATAATAAAAAAAGAGAAGCACTTTGTACTTAATATGTGTGTGTGTGTGTGTGTGTGTGTGTGTGTGTGTGTGTGTGAGAGTGTGTTAAGTGTACGCACCCTGAGATTGGGATACAGATGCAACCACAAGGATGGTTGAATCCTCTCACAAAGCCAGACTGGGGAGCACAGCTCGGGTGAGTCACATTGGTGGCTGTTTGAAAACACACATCGCAATTAAAGCAACCCTTTGCCTCCTGGGAAACACCAATTGTTTTTATCACCGAGTTAGGCGAGATGATTGATATCACTGTCATGTGTCAGTATAAAACTACAACTGCCGTCTCTTACAGGCACATTTTTCCTGATATTTTTTTGCTCAACAAGTTATTTGCTGACTGGAGGGAATACAGTCCACTGGGGCGATAAACACAGATTACCATACAGCACTTTACCACCAGGAGTAAACTGTGACGAGTGTTTACAGCAGACATTTTGGCATTCATCTTTGGCTGCTCTTTTGAATCAGTTTGGGTCACCTGTGACTTTGTTCCCGACTGAGAAAGGCAGTACTTCCATTTTAGTGGCCAAATAATACAGTTTGCTGTTTGAGCTTCAAACAAGGAGGTCATGTGGAAAAAGGGAACTTCTTCTTCCAAAACCCTCTTTCCTCTGTTTAGGATTTATACATTTAGCCAAAGATTGTATAATTAATCCTGAATAATTGCTGCTCCTTATTAATTTAACCATCATCTTTTATGGGAAACAAATATTCATATATTATTACTCTCTAAAGGACCCAGAGAATATTGTGATTTGGTGAAATACAGATAAAAATAAATTTAAGTACAGCATGGACATTTGTAATCACCTTATTGGTAGTAACTGTGTATTACTGCCTTGTTCAGACTGCCCTGTTATGTTAATAGGACTAATTCATGCACTATTCAGTGTTACATTTTTAAGGTTTGGACTCCAAATAAAAATCCCTGCTTGGTCTGTAAGTTGTTTCCTTAATGTCACCCGAATATATCAGAGGTTGATATTAGTTGTTCCAGACGCTTAAAACCCAGAATATTCAGCATTTACGTCCTGAATGCTTAAGAAATACAAATGATCCTCAGTGATTGTTTCCCATCTAAATATCTATCATGTTCTAATGTTATTCATTTGAGTTTTTCTTTATTCTTACATTTGAATTTTGTGTAACTCCATCTTGATCTTTTATCTTTATAGAAAAAAAGGATGACGAGAAATCTCATCATTATCAGTGGAACTAATGGCTAGACTTGCAGATGTTAGAACAAGGTTGTAATAAACCAGAAATGTACAGTCCTTTAAAATTAGTCTTTAACCTGCAGCATTAGGTTTGCAATCTACCTATAAAACCAAAGTTTACTAGGTAACATTGCCCCTGATAACACTTGCAGCAAACTGACAACCAGAGCACTGTGGGACATAGGACAAACTATATGTCTTTATTATGCTTATTATATCTGTATACAACACTTCCGTCAGAGCCAGTCACATTTTGGCCCTGAGGTGCCAGGGGTACTTGTATAAGTTATGAGTTGACCACAGCAGGTTATGGTAATATTCTTACTGATTTATAAAAGTGAATCCTAATTTGCAGCTGTTGTAAAATGACGTATCCTTTAATGTGAAATTATTAAAGATAATTATCCATTTTGAAACAAAATATATGAGGAAGTAACATCAGAATAATTCTTCAAATAAAAGTTCCTTCACTGTATGTATGTTCAGACTTTAAAACGCTGATCAGGAAGCCCAGGCTGTGGTTTTTTTTGCTATCTGCTGAGTTACCAGGACACTCCATGTGTATGTGACATAATGGTGGAACATGCTACTGCTTACTGCTTGAACCTGTCTTTACCTGTGTTAAAATGGTGGTTGTAAATACTGTCTTTTCAGTAATCTCTGACCTTTAGTCCTGCAAACAGAAGGCCCATGGTTCCAAGCCCAAAAATAAGTAACAACCTTTCGATTGTTTAGGAAACAAACATTTCAAACGGCTCCTGCAGTGGACATCCAGGATAAAATGATCTGTTTGTTTCTTGACTAATTTTCTTTCCCTAGATATATTTGATTGAAGTCATATCTGCACAAGCATAAAACACTAAATATGAGAAAAAACTGGAAATGTGTTAATGTGTAGTCTGTTCAGAGCTGTAGTGTAGAAAAACACAAGCAAGCAAGAAGACAAGACAAGAATTGGTCATTACGCACCATTTGATGAAATGGTGCCATCTTCGTATTGCTTGATTAAAATAACATCTACGAAGTCTCGTGGAGCTATGATGCCCATAGCTGCTGAGGGTGTGACTGTCCGGCAGATGGAGGTGTCCTGTGCAAGAGTGGGAGACAAGGGAATGCACTCAAAGACTGAGCTGAACAAACCAAAATCAAAAATGGACATCACCCCAGGTATCAAATGTATGAGTTTAAAGCTGCACTGTGTTACTGAGATTAAAGTAGATCACACGTGATGTAACTTATCAAATTGAGTAGATCGGGAAACACAAGCAGAGACAAGAAAAAGTTAGATACAATATAAAATAGTTTTTTGATATAAAGTGACCTGGATTTCTTGCCATTAGCCATATGTTTGTTTGGCCACATCACATTAGTAGATTTGTAGGTACTCCAGTACATGTGCAGCCATATGAAGCCACCAATATGTTAAGGTCACCTAGCACAGCTTTAAAATAATCCAGACCATCTGTGATGGAAATCAAAAGACGACTATGTGGAATGAGAGCTGGCTTAACTGATTCAGAATGGTGGTGACATAACATCCTTTCATCAGAAATGAGTTAACTCACCTCTGAGATTTGTTCCAGAAGCTCAAACTTTTTGACGTTGTTGTCCCATTTAACTCGGAGCCCATTGGGTACTGGCTTCAGGCACTCCCACACTTTCTCCAGGCTGCCGCTGACAATCCCCTCCCCCTTGTAACTGACATGGAGGTCACACGACAGGACACAGTCAGCAAAGTTGATTATTAAAGCATGACTCTGCTGTAAATTAGATTCAAACTTCCTCACACAGGCTAAAGATTCAACTCCTGCAAACAGATAAACACTTCTGGTCGACTTTTAGCTCACAACTTATTCATGGAAGAAACAAATACTGACGCAGAAAATCAAAGTCTCATTTTACTGGCATATACTAATGAGAAAGACAAAGTTAAGGTTACTCACACATTCCCAGGGAACTCTGATGAGGGGCGCCAAGACACCACCACGTCATTCTGCAAAAGAGAACGGTGCTTTGTCAGTGTGCAACATTTACATTTGTATGAAACAGCCCTGGTACGTGATGTTTCCTCTGATAAGCTGCATATCTCAAAACAAACAGTGGCTGACTGATGTCCAGCATCGTTACCACTAGTCAGCCTTTAATGGCACTTACCTGTAGTCAATTTAATGTGTTTATTCAGTCTGTGTTGACGTGTGGCTGAATGAGACATGAAATTAGGACATTTTAATCTCTGAATATTTAGAATGACAAACTTAACACTCAGCGACCACTTTATTAGGAACTAAAACTGGGTATAGTACCTCCCTGTGCTTTGAATTTCACCTAATGCTAGAAACTGTCCTCTGAGAACCTGCATCATGTTACTTTACATTCCATTCCATTTCATTCAGCGCACGCTTTTAACCAAAGCGACTTCCAATTAGTGTATTCAACGTCTATGCCATTCTTGTCCAAGGACACCTCAGCATGGGCTGGGATTTGAGCCACCGACCTTCTGGTTGGAGGATGGCCACTCTTCCCCTTTCCATTAATTTATTCACGTTCATGAAACCACTTGGAGACTTTAACTTTGGGACATGGAGCAGTATCCGGCTGGAAGTGGTTACTAGAAGATGGTAAACTGTGGCTGTAAAGGTATGAACGTGTTCAGAAACAATACTCCGATAAACTGTGACACTTAAATCAAGTTTGATCGTTTACCAACATCATCACACCACCAGCAACACTATGCACTGCTGAAACAAGGCAGGTTGTCTCTATTGATTCATGCTGTTGACTTCAGGTTGTGACTCTAAGACTCATTAGACCAAGCTACGTCTTTCAATCTTCGACTGTCCAGTGTTGGCGTGTCTGAGTCAGGTCTCTGCTGATGTAGAACCGACAGTCTCACTGTTCAACACGTTGTTCATCCTGAGATGCTTCTCTGCTCACCACACTTGTTAGGAGACATTATCTGAGTTACTGTAACTTTTCTCTCACCTCCAATCAGTCTGATCTTTATCTTCTGACCGCTCTCATCCACAAGGTATACATTGCAATGCTGCCACATGATTGGATAATAGCATGGATAAGCAGGTGCTCTGTGAAAGCATTTTTTAACATTTTAATTCACAGTAAACTCAAACATTTTGAGCAGTTAACTGTGGTAAATGTTCTGTATTTATAGAAAGCTTTCCTAGTCTTGATGCCCACCAAGATAGAGTCATAACACTCTGAATTCCAAATCTAAATCAATGTATTCAGTATAGTAGTAGGACCCTCACAAAAACTACTGACTTGGTGAAAGATGTATTTTACGCTCGTGTGTGAGAACATGTTCTGCTCTAATTCCAAAAATAGTCTTTTAGAAAAGTTTCTATTTTGAAGTGGTCCACCCTCGAGTCAGAGTGTTGGTGGCTGAATGAAGTGGAGAGCTGCAGGGTTGTTGGTGTGTGCTTGGTGTGATCTGTGGAGCTGGACCCACTGAAGTAAGACCTGGTTTGGGAACAGCCTGTAACGTCATGTCGGCTGCCTGTGTAACATCACAACACGCCATCCCCACAGCAGCTTCCTATTGGTTCTCTGTGCCCCTGATCATCACGCACCAGGCAAGTGGATTGAAATGGTTGACTTTACATCAGACAATAGCAGCGGACACTTACAGACTTCTTACACACTTTCCAACCGGACTCGTCCTTCTTGTAGCTCATCAAGCAGTCCGCCGTCGCCCTCGCCTTCTCTTTATAATCCATAGTAGCGGGTGGGAGTCGCTAACTCGCCTCGAGAGACTAGCCCGGCGTCGAAGCGGCCGGAATGAGCGGTCGTGATACTGGCTGTCGGTCCTCGGGTCAGGCGAACACCTCCGCCGCTGAGCCGTCCCTCGCCTCCAGGTCAGACAGCTCGAACCCGGTCAGGTGAGCTGTGGAGCGCCGCTGCACAGCTCGCGTTAGCCCCAAAAAAAATCAATGAATGAGACGCGCTGTGGAAACACGCATCGTTGACCCACGAGCAGCTAGCGACGTAAACGTACGTGGATTAAAAAAAACAAAAAACCAACGGTACGATCGGTGACGCTGGAGCCGTCCTGAGACTTGGCGCAGAGCCGCCGTGCGGACGATAAAACCCGGAGTATCTGGAAGAATTCCCTGAAATCTGAGAACGCGAGTCGTCAAATATCCAGAAAAAAACCACTTCCGGTTACAACTTTCAAAACAAGACGAGTACCCACGGTCACACGCGTTCTTGGACACGTATCATGCACTTGTGGGACCATTCTGTTATATTTTCAATAGTGCTCGACTGTTCGAGCAGATATTGTACAAACAAATCCGAGCAAACCCGAAACTGAACGAAGCCACAGGTTTCACGCGTTTTATGTTGAAGGTTGAGGCGGCCGACTCTTTCCTGTAATCTGGCTGGCTTCACGCACCTGCGCCTGGTATCCTCGCTTGTTGCAGCAGAGCATGCTGGGACTTGTAGTGGTCACTTCACTGCAGGTGTTCATTCACTGTACAAGACGATCAGTGAGTTTCCATAGAGAGCGTTTTATTGTGAAAGCACGGAAAGGAAGTGTGGCGACCAGTATATATATGTTACATAATCAGCTGTTTCAAAATGATACTCGACCACATTCATAGGAGTAAGAAACCACATTTATAATGCTCTCTGTGCTTTAAATGCAGTGCATCAACACATCGTAACATGTATTTTATAATACATCTGATATTTGGAAAAACATTTTAACGGGACACATCATTTTAGCAAAGATGTCATACATTGGAGCAGACCAGGTCGTTTGACTCAGTGACATTTACATCAAAACTGGTCTTGGACTTCTTTTTGGCCAGCTTTCCCTGCCTGGCGTCAGATTTGAGATAGCGCTCCTTGTTGTGGATGACCTGTATGTACTGGTCAGTGCTGCTGTTCTGCTGGTCACTGCTGGAGGCCAGGGAGGCTGAGTCTGACTCAGTCAGAGGGGTCTCCAGCTTCGGCCTGGTCTTGGGCTTCATGTGAGATTCCGTGTGCCTGGTCCTGGCTGGGGACGGACAGTGTCTTCCTGGGGAATGGATGTGACGCCTGGTTCGCACAAGAAGATGGTCTGCTCCTTTCACATTGGCCGGGGGCCGTGAATGTGACTCTATATCTCTCCAGTCTATTTCTCCTCCATCATCCTCCTCTTCATCCTCTTCTTGTGCTCCATATCTTCCTCGAGCTGCGTGGCTGTCTTTAGCCATGGATACGTGGCTTTCCACACGGTCACCGACGTAGAAGTGCGCAGGCTGGTGGAGGTCAGAGAGGGAATGGGGCCGATGAGCCTTCCCCAGTGACATTCTTCTCCTGCTTTTTCCTTCCTCCTCCTCCTCTTCCTCTTCACTCAGATGCTGCTGTGATGGGTGGGCCCGGTGAGGATGTAGTTGATGGTGAGTGGTGCGGGGAACATAGCGTTTGATGTTGCGTGGGTACAGCTCCAGGATCTCTGCAGGCTCCTCCATGAGGTAATGGCGAGGGATCCGAGTGGCTGAGCGCAGCAGCTTCTTCCTGGGCTCGTGCTCATTGACAATCACGTAGCGAGTATGACCGCGGCGTCCTGCATAACTCTGTGCAGTGATAAACCCAGCAGCCTCGACAGGATGTATTGAGCGTACCGTCTTCCTGTACAGGGGGTCAGAGTGGATGTTGTCAGAATACTGAGCTGGGGGATTGTACACCATGTGATGGTAGGACTTGGACCTACAGGATCCACTAGGGCCACTAAGAAATGGTGGGGGCCTGTTTTGAGAAAGGACAACATATAAGAATCAGTTTATATGCGTAACATTATGTATTGACATTGTTTGCATAGCATAATAATAAATCAATAATAAAGCATGAACTGATTTGAAATGTCTGCACTGCATCGGCACATACAATCTTATAATTTTGACAAACTTCAAGCAGACATGATGTCTGTGATGTTTACTGTGATGTATAATCAAACAGGTTTCAAAAAGCGTAAATGAACTGAAATTAAAGAAAATAAATAGTTGCGAGAAAAACATAAAACATCTTAAACTTTGGTGGTAGAGTTTGGTGTATTGGTCAAAGCGGTGATATAATGTATATGCAGTATGAACAAAAATGGTCTCCAACATGCAAAAAGGAAAAATAAATACTGGCATGTTCCTTTAAAGCCAAACTGCAGGTTTAACCTTCATGCCAAAAACATTCACATGACTTACAAGTTACACTGCTTCCCACAGAACATTTTTTGTTGTCAAGATGAAAACAAACTGAGACAGTCGTAAGAAATGTCTCCACTGAAACCTAAGTTAATGCTAAATAACTATTCATGGTTTTTACATCATAATCAAGAACAATTTAAACATGACATTATTTTCTAAAATGAGATAAAATAAATAGTAGACGTGTTCAGGGTGATCTTTAATAATGTGTAGGTCTTGGATTCTGGCTCAGAGTGAAATTTATGGGAAATAATCTCAATTAAAAATCACAGTAGCAGGAAAAAATAAATGATTCCCTCTAACTGGCCCTGTGTATTACTATTAATACATTTAACTAAATAGATTCAAAATCAATAAAATTGCACAAAATCACGTAAATGGTCAGCTGTTGTTTTAAGTCAACATGCTGGATTAAATCAATATACTATATTAGTGTGTGAGACCTGTTAGGGATGTGCTCCAGCCTGTGTTTGGGCAGTATGGTCACTGTTGGACTTCTGCCAGATCCAGACCCACTTCCTCGGTTCAGGTCCGCCCTGGATGCAGATTGGGTGATGGTGCGGATGCTGTTTCCATGACGAACAGGCGACTGAAAGTTTGTGACGCTGCCATTCCTGCGGGGGGAAGGCGTGTGGATGGAGGCCTCCTGGCTCGTGATGTCACTCTCCTGCTGTTCCACGTTTTTGTCGGCAGCAGTCTCTGGAGCCTGCAGTCTTGCTAAGGAAGGGTTAGATGTCACAGCATCATCATCAAGGCAATTGTTGCTGATGTCAAGATGATGACCCACACAAGAGACCTGACACAACACCAGAAATACCTGCAGCCATTTGAAAGACTTTCTTCTTGTCCTCAGTCCGCTCCTGAAGAGATTGAAGCAAAAAGACCACATTTAAGAAAAGTTAGACCTGTGACTATCACTCTGTCATGTAAGTTTAGGACTCAACAGGGCTAGATATTATTATTCATAGCTACTTGATTATTTAATTATGATCATTATTGCTGATTATATTTTTCTGTCAATAATCAAATAATTTTGATTAAATGTATATACTATATATGACAAAACAAAATTCAAATTAATCAAAATTATTTGATTGATACATATATATTATTTGATACATATATATATAAGCTGCAAAATGCAGCTGAGAAGAATGTTTTGGGATTTATGTTGAAAATAAAAGGTGATCCACTTGAGGATTTCATTCATTAGAAACTCACAGTCTGGAGCTGCATCCTCAGCTGATTGTTGGTGAACTTGAGGGATCTGGCTATGGCTTGGAGATAATATATCAGCATGCTGAAACACACAGGGACAATTCAGAAGTCAAGTTGGAAGGTTCGTTTGTAGTCGTTTGCATATATAGGGCCTATCTTAAATCCAGCAGAAAGCAGCCTCAAGCGGGACACAATTCCAGTGCCATATTTGTTTAAATAGCAAGTGCTCTTGTACTCATTTGAGCAAATGGACTTGTTGGACATGCTGGTCTTCAAGTGAAGTGTGGCTATCCTGAGGCAGCAGAAGCCTTTGACCACAAAAACCTGGTCTGAAGTGAGTAGTGCAGTATTTTACAATTATTTTAAGGTGCATTATCAAATTCCACAAGGTCAGGTGCAAAATGCGTGTACAGACACAAATGATTTGTTTTTCTCTTACTACCTGGCAAATCCTCCCTCGTATAATATCTAATTTATTCAATATTTGTCCATATGGATGCAAACTCACTCGGCTTTTAAAGGGAATGGGAGATGGCACTCCGATTAGTTTTATTGTCATTAATTAATTAAGAGACAGAGTGCAATGCTTTTGAACCATGTGATTATTAAAATCGTGTGTGTGTGTGTCTGTGTGTGTGTGTGTGTGTGTACAGTCTCACAACAGCAGCAGCAGTGCTGGCAGCACTACAACAGGGCTGGTTATGTAACTCATCACTTTACTGAACCACAGGGGGAAGTCACTGGCCACTGTCTCAGAGATGATGTCATAAATCTTCTCTTGACCACTGCAACAAAAACGGAAGACCTTTCTATATTTACATGTGGAATAAACACAACACAAACAAAACTCCAACAACCCACAATTTGTAATCTGTTCAACTTTGCAAACACAGTACACTGATGTGTATATGTAACAACTGTTTCGTTACAGAATCATGTGTGTGACATAGACAATGAGTGTCTGTTTGTAAACTGCAAAGACAGGATGCAAGTGAACACACAGACCAAATATATACAAATGATTATATTATATTCAAATATTTGGCATACATTTAGTATGAAAAAAAGAGGAGAAACATTTGAAAATGTGCCTTTTGGCCAAGACTGGCACATGTTAAAAGAAAAGAAAAGTTAATTTTAAGTGTTTTTTTTCATAAAAGCATGTTACAACCCAAAAGCTTTTGAGATATCCTGACATTTGATTCAGTGCAAAAGTGATTCAAGCTTTGGTGCCATATTAACAGTCTTTATGCTAAACTATGCTGAATTGGTTGTTTTGTTTGGCTGTTTTTGTCCAAGTTTCCATGTTTTATTCTCATCCCAGTAAATAAATGTGTTTACCTGAATGGGCCACAATGCTGGGATGGTCTGTATCTGACTATGGCAAAGATGGTGGGCAGCATGCACAGAAACAGCATGAAAAGCAGCATGGCCAGGTAGAAGTTGTTTGATCTGAAAAAAGTTCAAGCAAAAACAACATTTTTAACAGTTGTATTATTCCTGTTGTTTTCAAACCTTTGGTCTAGAGTTCTTCTCTGCTGAAATTCAAGTTTATATGGTAAAACGGTTCACTCTACTCAAACTGTGTGTGCTCACTCCTTTTCACTAGTTGTCATTATAGTTCCTGCTGCCCTGTTTATTGTCGCTCTCTATCTGTCCACCAGATGTCCTCATACTCTCCTCCCGGTCTCAGTTGCCCAATTCCTGAGTCCGACCTCCACACCTGTCTCTCACCAAGTCCTCACTCCTGCATCCACCTCATCTGTTTCTCATCTCATTATAATCAGCTTACAGTATGTTTTCCCCAAGTCATTATGTTGAACATGTGT